CGAACATGTCGTGAGTGGTTTCAACGCTTCAAGAACGGTGATTTTGACGTCGAAGACCGGCGTAGCGGTAGAAGAGGGAAAGTTTTCGAAAATGCAGAATTGGAGGCATTGATCAAAACTCGTGTCAAAATCAAAAAGAATTGGCACGATCATTGGGAGTGACTCAACAAGCCATTTCAAAACGCCTCAAAGCCATGGGAATGATTCAGAAGCAAGGAAATTGGGTGCTGTACGAATTGAAGCCGAGAGATATTGAACAGCGTTTGTTTGCTTGTGAACAGCTGCTTGAAAGGCAAAAGACGGAAGGGATTTCTGCATCGCATTGTGACTGGGAACGAAAAATGGGTTCATTACGATAACCCCAAGCGCAGAAAATCATGGGGAGTTCCCGGCCATGCTTCCACGTCGACGGCCAAACCGAATATTCACGGCTCCAAGGTCATGCTCTGTATTTGATGGGACCAGCTCGGCGTAGTGTATTATGAGCTGTTAAAACCGACTGAAACAATCACAGGCGATCGGTATCGAACGCAATTGATGCGTTTGAGTCAAGCATTGAAAGATAAACGGCCGCAATACAACGAGAGACACGATAAAGTGATTTTGCAGCATGACAGTGCTTGACGCCATGTTGCGAAAGTGGTCAAGACATACTTGGAAATGTTGAAATGGGAAGTCCAACCCCACCCGCCGTATTCTCCAGACGTTGCTCCCTCTGACTATCACTTGTTTCGATCAATGGCACACGGCCTGGCTGACCAGCACTTTCGGTCTTATGAAGAAGTAAAAAATTGGATCGATTCGTGGATCGCCTCAAAAGATGACCAGTTTTTTTGACGCGGGATTCGTACGCTGCTCGAAAGATGGGAGAAAGTAGTAGCTAGTGATGGACAATACTTTGAATTATAAATGTATAACCAGTTTTTTTACAATAAAGCCTCGAATTTCGGAAAAAAATGGCGGAAACAAAGTTGTACATCTAATATCATTTCAAAAAATAATATTTCGTTTAAGAATATAATATTTTAATGGAACAAAAAACCATAAAACTGAACGCGTACGAATATAAATCTAGAGAAAATATTTTCTCCGAAAAAATGGTATGAGAAGTTTAAGAAATATGTAATAAATCAAATTCTAGTATTAATGACTGCCACTAACAAGTACTATTCTAAGTATTAGAATATATAAGTACTATTAATTCTATAAGTACTATTAATGTGAAATATTATTGAATTTGAAATATACGTAATAAAAATAACTAGTAAATAAGTAAAAAATATATTATATTCGTCATATTTCTAAAATAATGCTGCAATATTACTAAAATAATATTACAAATTAATGTTACTGCAATGTCTCAGCAACATTGCACTGCAATATGCAATATTTTAACGTTGTAACAATGTTGCTGCAAGCTTCTGTGCTGTATGGATTATTACATATGAGGTGTAGTAAAAAGAAATCCATTATTTTTGAATGAAATTGAAGGCTTTATTTAGTTTATGCTTCATATTTAGAATGATCCGATTTAGGTCAAATAGGCACCGTTTTGTTCGATAACTTGTTACCATTTTGTAATTCCATTATGCGTCTCTTATAGAAACCCTTGTCCCTATTGGCAAAAAACTGGGACAGTCGATTTTCACAAGCTTCTCTTGAGGCGAATGTTTCACCAGCAAAATCATTCGCCATAGACAGGAACAGGTGGTAATCACTTGGTGCCAGGTCCGGACTATAAAGTGGATGTATAAGAACCTCTCAACCAAGCTCCCGGAGCTTCTGGCGAGTCACTATCGATGTCTGTGGCCTGGCGTTGTCCTGATGGAACACAATTTCTCTCCTATTGGCCAAAGCTGGCCGCTTCTGGGCGATTGATTCCTTCAGACGGTCCAATTGTTGACAGTACAGGTCCGAATTAAGAGTTTGGCCGTAGGGGAGCAGCTCATAGTGGATGATTCCCTGCCAATCCCATCAAACACACAGCAAAGCCTTGCTAACCGTCAATCCTGGCTTGGCCACCGTTTGCGCTGGCTTACCGCGTTTCGACCGTTTTCGCTTGACGTTGTCGTAAGTGACTCACTTTTCATCACCAGTCACCATCCGCTGCAGAAATGGGTCGATTTTGTTGCGATTCAGCAG